ACGCAGCACTTGAGGGGAAGCACGCAGGAGTCAGGGCGGTGTCAGGCGAACTGTTTATTGGGCGAACTTGTGCCCAGCAAAACAGGGCCAAACACAACTCATAGCAACAGCGGCGTGAACAGTCGTCGGCCGACGGAAAAAAAAGAAAAGACCCCCAGTGGCGCACTGCGCCGGCTTTTTATACACGCGTCGTAACGCGTTCCAGAGTGGCATACAAGATAAACGCGGCCTGCGTTGCGCTTAGCAGAAAGTGATAGCGTCTTGCTTCGTAAACCAAAAGAACCGCACGTGTCAGTCTTTTTATACACGCGTCGTAACGCGTTCCAGAGTGGCATACAAGATAAACGCGGCCTGCATTGCGCTTAACAGAAAGTGATAGCGTCTTCCTTCGTAAACCAAAAGAACCGCACGTGTCACTACCCCCCTCTGAAAAAGCATCGTCCCGATGCTAAAGACAGAACATAAGAGAGAGTACATGCAATAAATTACATTAACAATGCGTCACAGCTAATCAGCGCGCGTAATAAGGTTTAAGTCGCACCACGTGTACGACTTCGGGTCGTGCACGGCGTCGTTGGGATGACGTTAAGCCATCGGGCACGACCTCATAGTCCAGTTCACCACGACGTCGGACTACCTTGTAGGGTCCAAAGTAGCATCGCAGGAGCTTCTCAGACAATCCCCGTCGTCGTATTGGCGTCCAGACCCATACAAGGTCGCCGGGTTGGTATTCGGTGTGGTGTCGTCGAAGGTTGTAGTGGCGCCTGTCGACCGTCTGTTGGCTCTTGATACGCAGGCGGGCTAGCTGTCGAGCTTCCTCAGCGCGATCCAGGTAGCTGGCGACATCGAGGTCTTCTTCGTCGGTGCCGACCGGTAGCATGGCGTCAAGCGTCGTTGTTGGGCTCCGTCCGTAGACGAGCTTGTATGGAGCAAACTGCGTCGTTTCCTGCACGGCCGTGTTGTACGCGAAGGTTACATACGGGAGTATGGCGTCCCACGTCTTGTGCTCGACGATCCCGGCTGCGGCGGCTGCATTTCCGATGGAGGCGGAAATGTTGTAGGCCCGTGTGCTCAGATTTGGGTGCACGTTAAAGAACCCCAGGTGGTCGAAATTTCCGGAGCCCTCCACTACGGCGTCTCTCATAATCATATGGTGGTTTTGGGACGTTAAACCCCACATATCAATCAATCTTGTGCTCGACGTCCACGTACATGGCCAGCATGTCGGCGATGGTCTTATTTAGACGCTCGGTGAGGCCATTCGTCTGTGGGTGATACGCGGTGGTTCGGCGGTGGCTTGTCTGACTGTACCTCAAGATCGCTTGCGTTAGGTCAGCCGTAAATGCCGTACCTCTGTCGGTGATGAGGACCTCGGGGGCTCCATGGCGGAGGACGATGTTCTCAATGAAGAACTTGGCGACCTCGGCGGCAGTGCCCTTGGGCAAGGCCCTTGTTTCGGCATAGCGGGTGAGGTAGTCAGTCGCTACGACAATCCATTTGTTGCCAGAAGTTGACGTCGGGAACGGCCCCAGTAAGTCCATGCCGATTTGTTGGAATGGCCGTTGAGGTGGTTCGACGGGTTGCAGAAGTCCGGCTGGCCTAGTTGTCGGCGTCTTGCGTCGCTGACAGTCTCTGCATGTTTTTACGTAGTGGGCGACGTCGGCAGTGAGGCGAGGCCAATAGTACTTCTCTTGTATTCGTGACAGTGTGCGGGAAACACCAAGATGTGCGGCTGTCGGGTCGTCGTGTAATGCTTCCAGAACCTCTGGACGTAACGCTGAAGGTACCACGAGGAGGTGGTCGGCGCGGAGCGGCGAGAAGTTCTTCTTCAGGAGGACGTTGTTTCGCAGGAAAAACGAAGCCAGTCCTCGGCGGAATACTTTCGGCACGTCGGCGGTCTTGCCTTGCAGGTAGTCCATGAGGATCTTGAGCTCTGGGTCAGCTCGTTGGCGTTCGGCGAAGTCGTCGGTACTTATGGGTCCCAGGAAAGAGTCGTCATCCTGGTCATCCTGGGGCGGCGGATCGACAGGGGCGCGAGACAAGCAGTCGGCGTCGGAGTGCTTTCGTCCGCTCTTGTAGACGACGGTGATGTCAAATTCTTGTAGTCTGAGACTCCACCGTGCGAGGCGCCCTGATGGATCCTTCAAGTTAGCTAGCCAACACAAGGCGTGGTGGTCACTCACGACTTTGAAAGGCCTGCGACGCGGTCGTAATTGTCAAGCCAGCTTTCCGGGTCTTCGTAGGTCGATCCGCGGAAGGTAGGCGGCTCTTTGGGCTGGTTGACGACCACGGTTGCCAAAGACCTTGCTTCCGTCATCGTGGATGCCGGCTTCGTAGCAGCCTTTGTTTTTTTGTCCTTGTCGGGGAGCGGCAGGTATTCGGGCGGTAGTCCTTGTTGTCTTCGGCTCACTCGAACGACCGGGTCGGCGTCGTCCTCTTGGCGGCCTGGGCTTGGCTCACGGCTGGACGGGGGCGTACGGTACATGGACCGAGAAGCACCTCCACCAGATGTCACGAGGTTGTGATACACGCAGCACTTGAGGGGAAGCACGCAGGAGTCAGGGCGGTGTCAGGCGAACTGTTTATTGGGCGAACTTGTGCCCAGCAAAACAGGGCCAAACACAACTCATAGCAACAGCGGCGTGAACAGTCGTCGGCCGACGGAAAAAAAAAAGAAAAGACCCCCAGTGGCGCACTGCGCCGGCTTTTTATACACGCGTCGTAACGCGTTCCAGAGTGGCATACAAGATAAACGCGGCCTGCGTTGCGCTTAGCAGAAAGTGATAGCGTCTTCCTTCGTAAACCAAAAGAACCGCACGTGTCAGTCTTTTTATACACGCGTCGTAACGCGTTCCAGAGTGGCATACAAGATAAACGCGGCCTGCGTTGCGCTTAACAGAAAGTGATAGCGTCTTCCTTCGTAAACCAAAAGAACCGCACGTGTCAATATGATGTATTCGATCACACAGCCATGCGCAAATGAAACGTAGGTCAAACAAATGCAATGTTCAAAGAGCTATACCGTGCAAGAGGCTGTCAGTGACCACCTTGGCATCCATTCTGGAGATTGTTGTTGGAAACTTGAAGTTTTGCGAATCAATGGCCAGGAACGAAGAAAAAGAACACGGGAAATAATCGAAGCAGATGAAACACTATGTCTTAAAGAAGAATTATTCAGTATGGCGTCTACACTCCCTCTCCTAAAAAAATAATTGTTTATTTTTTATATGAATCGTGCGTATTTGTGACACAAAATGGTGATGCAGTGATGTTGATATCCGAGGAATCACAGTACATTCGTGGTAGCCAGATAGGTTGTGACGGCATTATATATATGTGTGTCCACACCAGTATAAAGACCAGTTCTAGGTCTGTGCCTGTCGATGTTCGCATTCCTTCATGTTGGTGAAAGTTTTAGCGCTGTTTTTCTTTTTGAAGCCGTGAAAGCACTGCGGGATCACGTAGTGACTGCAAGAAATGCTTAGAAGCTGTTTACAAAAGTCACATGACTATGCTGATGTAACAAGACTGCGAAAACATGTGCTATTATTGAGCATACACGTGACTTTAGGCGCTAGAATGCACCGCGTCGTCTTCCAGATGATTTTGTTTTATTTGTACCTTGCAACGGGCATTGATGAAATTCGCACTTATCTTGACTTGCTTCCTCACATCCAACAGGCGTAGACGTCGATGCCTTGTGCAGTAAATACTTGAGGAGGACACGACAAATTTGCAGCACTGTGACAAAGCTCTCAGCCCCATATCTTGGGCGGGGGTCAGACACCTTCATTAGAGAAGCTACTTTGACGTGATCCGTAATAATTTAGCACCAGTTGTTGCACAGCCGAAAGTTATTTATTACAATGCAATTTGCAGAAACTTATACTTTTTGCGCCAGTGAAACAAGTATTATTGTAACTGAATCTTTGTTGATGAATACGTGCAGTGGCGTTGGCTCCTTAGACAATAGAAGCAGCGAGAAAAACGAAAACAGCAACACGGACTCCATTAGAGCTAAGTTTATTTAGAAGTTGATATACGCTGCTGAAAAAAAATGCAGAGAAAAAATTCCACTTGTTCACTTTTGCACCCTTTCCGCGCCTTTTCGTTTAATTGCAGCCAAAATTCATGTGAAACCTGTTTTTATGAGGCGGCGTCCATCTCCCCATTTCATTTATCGTCGTTCATTTCAATGTAGGTGATATTTTCTTTCGTATTCAGTGACAACATCACGTAGCACCAGCATAACAAGGCAACAACACTTGCGTCGTGCTCCACCACACGTAAAAATGCTCCCGTATAAATTATTAGTCAGATGAAAGCTCAAATCTGCATCTTCCATCTAAAGCCCCCCCCCCCCTCCAAATATATATCATAAATGAACTTGAACCAATTCAAAATTGGGCTGCCAGGGTCATTCACTCTGCATGGTCATAAGACATCAGCATCTAATCTTCGAAGGCAGAATCAGGATTGGAAGCACTTGCTTCTCGCCGACAGATTGCCGCCCTCTCTCTTTTTCATATGTTGTATTTCAGTTCACTGAATCATCCATCTTACATAATGCCCTCTCTACTTATATCTCATCGCACTGGTCATCCGCTTCAAGTCGCACTATCACGTACCCGGACCCCAAGATTCGAAGCCTCATTTTCTATACGAGCTTCAACAAGACTGGAACGGCCTTCCTGACGCCATTTCTGCCATGCTCAGCCCATCCATGTTTTCCGAAGCCATTAGGAACATCATTGCATAAATTTATTAAACACCACCCTTATGTAATGCCCTTGAAGGGGAACATTAAAAAATAAAGTGAAAAAGAAGGGAAGCCCTCTTTTAGTCAGCGTAAGCTTTAGTGAAACCTTCTTTAACGTGAAGAGGAAAAGACACAACATCTTGTACATCTGTACTGTTGTGGATGCTCATTTCAGAAGTCCCAAAGTAAAGTGCATCCACTGAAGCACGACAAGCTGGGAGCCCCAAACGGCTTCGCAAACAACCTTGTGCCTATGGATCTCTACCACATGGATGCGAGCCCACCGTGCCGGGCCGTGCGCATGGTTGCTCGACATTTAAACCTCAGCTTGAATCTGATCCACGTTAACCACATGGCTGGTGAACACATGACGCCCCAGTTTCAGAAGGTAAGTTGATGCACCAGTGTTCACGTGGTCAAAAAGAAATTAAGGGACATAATACCATAGCCATGTGCGAGGGTTACCCTTCATGGGGGGGGGGGAGGGGTGAAGGAGCATTGAAGATCCTTCTCCTTTATTGTGCAAATGTACGGGGCTGGCTTCGCTGCCATGACTGCCACCACCCTCTTTGCATACGCCTAAGAATAATTCTTGGCAAGTTGCCGTACAAAAGTTAGGTCACCTACATCACACAACAGCCAGAGCAGAGAAACTTCCTGTATAAAGATATCCATGCGCAAATCATAAGCCACGCGGATAGATTATGCTAGCACCATCTGGAACACGTACGAGATGGAGAGGTACGGCTAAAAAAGCATTTTGTTGGTAGTGTCTTCTAGGTAAAAGTGTTCAACTGAGTGAATATCCACGTATGATGCCAAACACCCGGAGATGCCTCACCCGACATTCATAAATATGCTTGAGGCATTAGTAACGTTGAATGCACCAATGTTTCAGCTTTTCAGCACCAAAAAAAGCTTTTAACTGTGTTTGGTAGTTCATATATGTCAAAGCACTGATAGCGTATAATTGGTCGCAACCTATTGCCCGTACATAGAAATATGTTAGTAACTAACAACAGCTACACTGGACCCTGTGCATACTGCTTCAAAATTTCTTGATTTAGAAAACAATTTTGATAAAAGTAACTAATAAAGTCACGCAGCAAGGTTGATTAATAAATTTAGGACGATATTTTTTGGTGTCAAAACTGAAACAAAAAACATCGGGAAAGTAAGCAGGTACGAATAAAGCTACTACGTGTTTTGTGTCAGATACAATTGAATTGTCCTTCATTTGAGTGACAATGTAGTGGTGTCTACTTGTTTCGTTTCATGTCCATAGTGTTTCTGGAAATAGCGAGCTAGCCATAGTATCACATTGTACATAGTAATTGCCTGCAAACCAGCAGTTTACTCCTTGCACTGCCCCTCAGATGGCGCATTTCACTTGATTGTTTCGATGAAGTGATATATATATTATATATAATATATATATATATATATATATATATATATATATATATATATATATATATATATATATATATATATATATATATATATATATATATATATATAAATATATATATATACATATATATATATATATATATATATATATATATATATATATATATATATATATATATATATATACGTATTTAGAGTGATGTTCATATGCAGCAGCGTTGCTTATGCCTCGCGAGGAAGTAGCACCTGAACAGGAACAGACGAACAGGAAGGAATTAGAATAAGAACATCCGGCCTACCATTCACCTTCATGACCTTAAATTATCAGCCCCCTTGAGCCGTACTGGCAATCGATGGTCGCCTTCTGGCATAACGGTATTTTCCTAGAACAATGTCGCATGTGCACGTTACTTTCACGCCGGCTGCGATACGTTGCGCTAGGTAATAAAAAAAACAATTCTACGAGCTTTGTGAAATGCAAAGCATTTCTTAGTGAACTTAGGTTACAGTGAGCGTATCTATCTATCTATCTATCTATCTATCTATCTATCTATCTATCTATCTATCTATCTATCTATCTATCTATCTATCTATCTATCTATCTATCTATCTATCTATCTATCTATCTATCTATCTATCTATCTATCTATCTATCTATCTATCTATCTATCTATCTATCTATCTATCTATCTATCTATCTATCTATCTATCTATCTATCTATCTATCTATCTATCTGTCTGTCTGTCAGTCTGTCTATCTATCTATCTATCTATCTATCTATCTATCTATCTATCTATCTATCTATCTATCTATCTATCTATCTATCTATCTATCTATCTATCTATCTATCTATCTATCTATCTATCTATCTATCTATCTATCTATCTATCTATCTATCTATCTATCTATCTATCTATCTACATCCACCCATCCAGCCGCCTGCGACTTTTTGCTCAACTGGCCGTTTTGTTAATGAAATCGATGCCGAAATTGGTATGAAATATGTGAAGGTATGACAAACTTAAATGACAGGTGATAAAAATTATAAGTAGCATGCCATGAAAGGCAGCATCTTCATGCCAAGTTCTCGGTGCTTTTGCAACTGTTTCGTTCACGCGAAATATAACAAAATCGTTATGGTAAATACCTTGACTGTATGAGCAATATAAGTAACAGCTCCTAACATACGAATCGCCGCTCTCATGCCACGGACAGCATGATTTCGATGACGTGGTTTGGGGGTGCTGATAAGCGAATAAATAAATAAATATACAGTAAAATTCGTATAACGAGAAGTTTGTGTATGATGAACGTGAATGACACCTTGTAAAGCGAAAATCTTGGCATGCCTGGGATGTACGACATGGATTACATATAACGCTTATGGTTTGCAATGTGTGACGTGACTGTCTTAAAAACATAAATGACAGCTTGTAGCCTGCAATCCATCATGCTGTTATGTGAGACATGACTTACAGGTGACGCTCATGGCACGCTCGTGGCCGTTTTGCTAGCTTGATACATACCAAATGTGGTATTGCGTGACTTGACTGTATCACGAACTCAAATGACAGGTGGTAACTCGAAAACCTTGGCATTCATTTTACAACGTTATTTACATGCCACACCAGTGGGGTGATCGTGGTTGGCTCGCTTCCTTGGTATACAGTGATGGAAATAGGTAGTGGGTGATGCGGCCATGACAAACATATATGACAGGCGTTGAGATTAAATTGTTGACAATAAAGTCATGTGCAGCACAATTTAAACGCCACTCTGTCAGTCATTTGGCTAGTTTGATATACAAAAGTTAGTATTGCGTGGCATGACTTTATGACGAGCGTAAATGACGGATTTTGAAGTCAAAATAATGATGTAAATGTTATGTATAGAGCATGATGTACAGTAGCACTCAGTATGACTTGGAGCACGGTAGCTGTGATTAGAGTGACCCAAAGTCAGAACAATAAAACTGATAAATTTTAAATTTATTTATGGAGTACCAAGAAGTGACAAATTTTATTTCACTTTTTGTTCTATGTCAGTGGCGATTGGCAATGTTGGCGCCATTTGGAGCAAAGACAGCATGTTGTCACTCACATCGAGCGTGACTGTACATGCCACGCTCATAGTAGCTTCCGTCCATTTCGTTAACCGGATATATAAGAAATCACTATGGCATGAGTTCAGGAACAATAATAAGAGACCATCGATCGTATACACCACACTACACATTTTCATAGCGTAGTATATGCGAGATAGTACACGCCTGCGTGTGCGTCAAACGTGCGATAGGTATTGAGCAATAGCATGAGATCAAGGACGTAATTTGTCTCGAAACAAACAAGACGATGCATCCAGCTCTTTGCTAGCTGCATCGAATTTCATTGATTCGAGCAAATCGTTATCTTGTTTTCAAAAGAACATGACGACTTTTTAAAACAAGACTATGATAACACGGTAAAAATAGCTGCAAATTACTACTTTATAAAGGTAAAACCACGCGAGAAACACCACTATTCTCGCAACTGCGATGAGTCATTTGCAATTTTTGTGAAATTAGTGATATTTTTTAACGCACGAAAGTAATTGGTGATGGCTGACAAGTGATAATGTGGGCCATGAAAATAAATGAGCCCACAAATGGTGTGCACAGTTTTGTAGAAACCCACCAATAAAGAAACGGCATTTGATCAAACGAGGACCAATGTAGGTTTTGGTATACAAAGTGCGTATTAATTGTAAAGATTTAAATCTGCGAATCGCCAAATATTTCAGCGGCGCAGTATTCAGCCGCCCCTGCCCAGGCAGGTCACTTGCATGAGGGAGATCTAACTGGCCAGCCATTTGATAGGACTTGCATGTGACGATACCATAAAGCTACTGCCGTTCAATTACGAACCAATACATTTCATTAAAATTGAACCTAATAAAGTTTGTACTGTGCAAACACTAACAAAAACAGGCTGTTTATTCACAATTTAATTCTGGACTCGGAAACTTCAGGCTGAGAGGGACAGCCATCTCCCGTGTTACTACGTGATCCGCACTGACGCAGCTGCGTGATGTGTCCTGACTTTCATGTTTCTTTTCTCTCGAACATCGTACAGAACTGTAACTGGGTAGTAACTACTACAAATGCAACGAATGATGAACAGTAAATCTCCGAGATCGTGTGACTGTGCAAAGCAAATAGTTGTTTCTTCAACAGCAATGCCTCCGTAACCAATTTGTCCCGTAGTGTTGTCACTTGTACCACAGAAACTCAAAGGCACTTTGGGGCAACCACTTGTCAGGTAAGAAGCGCGCACATCATGTCCCGTCACACACACGCTTTGTTATCCACGCCCTTGTCCGGGTCACCCCTGTCCATCCTCATAATGATGATACTAAAAGCGGCACTGGCCCCAACTGCGGCACCATCTCTCAGCCTTCTGGTTGCCGCCTCCGCCACACAGTCCTTACCCATCCTCCTTTAAGGCAACGTTAACCCATCGAGGGCATGTCTAATTAAGGTTTATGGTACACTGTCAGCTGGTCAGCATGAATTATCGTTTGACGCCTGCCTGTTGTGGGATCTGACCGCAGAGAATCATGTGCATATCTTTTTCGTAATCATGTAGGGCATTGAGCATCTTGGTGAGAGTTTTGATGTGACACCCGTTGCTGCATTACTTAAGGTATGGCTGTCCCGGAGAACGAGATCACCTGGTTTCAGAATAACTGGCCACCTATGGTGGTCGTAATGTGCATTTTTTTTAACCTGAGCCGCAACTTGTTGCCTGTGAGGAAACTGAGGAGCCGGGGCCAGACACTGGTAAAGTTCTTGAGATAATGTATGATAGGCAGAAGGAGACGGTTAAACATTGTCCATGGAGCAAGGTGACTCCCATAGAGTACGCAGCGCCCGTGGCCATAATAGAGGAAAACTGATTTAAACACGTCACAACGCTCTCTGCCATGTCGAGGCAAAA